CAGAACCTGCTTTCTGATCCATTTATGTAAGAAAATGTTAAATTTTTACTTTGACCTATAATTATTGTTCCCAGAGGTCGTTTTTTATAAATAGCATATCCCACTGCTGCTCTTGTTTTCTTTCTACCTACCTCTTCTTCGGATGGGTAAAAGCCAATTGCTCTCATGACAAAAGGAAGCTCTGACAGGCAAATGTGTTCCGACACCTTTCTGGTCTCCATTGTACCAATACCTTGACTGCGGAGCTGAGAATAGTAAAAATAGTCTTCCAGCTCCTATGTGGAAATAAAATGGAAACGCAATACACATTTTGGCTTAAGTCTGAAGCATCCATTAAGACTTCAAAGACTTTATCTAAAAAGTATATTTTGAGCTCAGTGGGGAAAAGAGCTTTGGAAAAAAGCAAGAGGGTTAATCCTGGGCACATTTGTTTTACAAACCTAACTAGATGTTACCAGGAAGTGTTTACTCTAAAGACAATTACCCTGTAGAATTTTCCTTCCCTGCCACCAGACACCAGACCATAGAACGGGGTCAAGTCTTCGCCCCCAAGAGAAACCGCTGCCTCCAGGGCGCTGGAACAATAACAGAAACATCACTATTAGAAAGCACTCATGCGTGAACACGTTTCAAGCACAGCACTGCGGCCCTCTGGAGGGTATTACAGCGCAGATACAATTAGGGTCTCTGTAAACTTGTTAAGAAAAGTCCCTTCAAAATTGAAGCCAAAAACAGAAAATTCAATTTCAGGCATAGAACCTAGTGGTACGGGGCACCCACCTTAATTATGGTGACATTCTCTCACTGATGACAAGGCAGGCACTTGGCAATTTGTCTGCAATCTTTGGGGAACACATCTCCTAAGAGAGGGAGGGAGGGCCCCTGTGTTCTGAAACCACAATCCTCTCAAGCAGAGCAGCTTTACCCGTAACTTTAGATCCATGTACAACCAGAGCCAAAAGAATGGGATATTGTACAGGTGACTGCCAACACTAATTGCTTCCATAAAAACTCAGGAGACCACAGGGACCCATACCAGTAGGATAAAAATAACCCTCTGCTTTCTAACATGGGGTAAGATTTTCCAAAAATAGACCCTTTACATGGTAAGGAAACCCACTTTTGTATGAGGCTGGCTTTGCCACATACAAAAGGCTAATAGTCTGAAATCATTATAATAATCGACTAACTGGATTTCTGCTAATCAGGTGATTAGCCCCTTTGCTGAGATATTAAAACACATTTCAGTGTGGACCACAGTGGACAAATGGTTAAGTGTCCAGAATGTGGAGTCCCAGGGACATATGTGTGTCTCCTGGCTCTGCCATTTGCAAGCTGTGTGATTGTGGGCAACTAACTTAACCTCCCTGGCCTCAGTTTTGTCAACTGTAAAATGGAAAGAATTATAGAGCCTGCCTCACAAGGCTGTTGTAAGAATTAAATAAGTGAACGCACACAAAGGATTTGACACAAAGCCCTTTATTTCCCTTCTGTAATGATTGTTTGTTGAGGTGTGGGGTTGACTCAGAAAGATGTGAATCCCAGTCCCACCACTCATGCCATCACTTGGGTAGCCATTTAACCCCTCAGAGCTAATTTCTTGACCTGTACAATGGGGATACCAACAGGACCTACCTCCCAGGACAGCTGTGAGGGTGAAAGCAGACAACACATGCACAGCACTTAGCACAGGGCCTGGCCCAGAGAAAAGGCGGGAGTTTTACTACCATTGAAAAGGGTGCTGACACGAACCTGTGCCTCTCTCACAAAGTTAGCCTCAATACTGTCCTCAGTCCTCTTGTCGGTCCCTGCACAAGCCCAGCAGGCTTGGTTGAGGTCTGTGGGACCTAGCACATTCTCTAGCTAGGCCGGAAGTCCTCCCTCAGCAGAGCCCAGTCTTCACCCATTCTTGGCTCTAATACCAGGCCGTGGAGGCAAGTGTCCAGATGAGACAACTCCCCCACTGTGGCCCACGGGCCAAGCCCAGGCCCAATCTTGACAGCTCCATGGGCAGGGAAACCACTTTTAGCTGTGTAGTTCTGGAGCAGGGCCAGGTCAAGATAAGAAGTGTCACAGAGGAGCCTGTCACCACATGGAACCCCTGGGGGGAAGGCTTGCAAGACGTCCAGGTTCTCTGGGAATAGCCCAATATTCCAGGTGCCAGTGGTTAGAGCTATTCTATGTCCCCTGCTTCCTGGCCACTGTCAACTGGCCCGAGAGACACCATGGGGACTATATTGGGATTTCTCTAACCAGGGCTGGGGAAAGAGACTCTGTGGTAAGAGTTACAAGTTGTGAAATTTGGGAACTGTTGGTGGCCATGTTCCTGATGAGTGGGGAAATACAGTTCTGCAGAGAATAGATCTTTCAGCAGAACCAAACAGAGACAAGAGTGCTAAGGGCGTCCAACTGTGCCACTATCCCTGTTCTTCCTGCCATGTGGCTGCATGGGATCCTGACAATCTTCCCATAAATTCCTCTTTTTGCCTAAGTTGGGTTTCTAACACTTGCAACAACAAAAAAGAGGTCATTGGGGCACAAAAGGGAAGTCACATTTATTGAAAACCTACTGTGTACCAGACAATACATACAGTACTTCTGGGAAATGAGCTAAAGCTTGAGGAGCCATGAGCACTGTGACTAGCACATAGTAAGCACTCAGTGAATGCCCCCTATGTAGCAGAACTCAGTGATAACATTCCCATTTGACAGATGGAGACACTGAGATGTACAGAAATTAAGGGACTGGTCTGACATCATCCAGCAGGTAGGTGGTGAAGCTAGGATTTGAACCCACGTCTCTCTGCTCTTGTCTGAGCAGGGCAGCAGGATCAAAGGAGGCAGTGAGGTTGGCAGAAAAAAGTGAAGGAGATTTTAAAACAGATGCCAGACAAGGAGGGAAAAGGGTGGCATGCTAGTAAAGATGAGGAGAAGCGAGAGGGCCTGTAAAGAGAGCTTGGGGAGGAAGATATTCTATATGCGGTGAGAATAAGTGTTTGGGGCCTAGGAGTGTCCTGATTAAGATAATTGGAATGTGAAGGGATTTATCATTTTCATTTCACCCTACAACTCATCATCAGTAAATCTAGTGGGGAATTTTGTTTGTTTACTTGCTTAGGGTTTTAACATTTTTTCCATTAGTGAAGCACTGAACATATTAAGTCACCAGACACAGCAATGAAGTGCTAATTAGTTTATAATGATCCTTTGTCCCCACAACAGATTAAATTGAAATTCTCAGAAGCCTGGACTCTGGCCAGGCATAGGAAAGATACTAGAAAGCGGGTGCTTTTTTCTTTTTTTTTTAAATTGCTACTGTTCCAGATCCCAAGAGGACTGGGAAAAGGACATCAGTGAAAAAGGGAGGATTTTGCTCTCCTACCAGGGTGCTGCTGGCCATCATGGTCCAGGTAACAGGCCAGGTGCCCAGGAATCAAGCAGCTCATTCTGAGGACATGACTGTGAAGTGCTTTTCAATGGGAGAACTTGCCTCCAGCTTCTAAATTCCCACATACCCAAGATCTACTCTCTCAGGTGAAGGCAGAAGTAGAAGTCAGAGTTGCAAGTGCAATGTGACACCACTGTGGTTCCAAAGCAGATTTAACTGGCTATCACTTTTTCTCATATTCAGGTTAAGAGGAGAAGCTTTGAGGTCTGCCATAAAAAGAAAGATGTGCACTTGTGAGATGGTAGGCGGTGTCCTTTTCTGGAAGCCTTGTTCTTTGAGGAAGGGAGGTGCCTACAAGCTGTTTCTACCTGGATCCTTAATGTCATGCTGTCAGGAGAGAGGCCCATCTGAGACAGAGGCAGAGCAGGGACCTGGAGAAGGTGGTCAGAAACAGGAACTGGCTGCTGAGTGGTTTACTCTGCCCTGTGGCAGCTCACTGAATTTGGTTAAACTAGAGGATTGCCTGAGTGCCTGCCCCCTATTTTAGTATGAAAGATCCTGAGCTTATAAGCAAATGCCCTTATCAGGAAGAAGAGATATTATCAATTTACTTAGTACTCAGCTCTGTGCTAGGTGCTTTATATATATTAACCTACCTGATTCTTACAAGGATCCTATAAAAGTCCCTATTATTACCGCCATTTCACAGACAGAGAATCTGAAGATCACAGATGTTAAGAATCAGGTACCCTCGGTCCCACAGCCAGTGGAGAGTAGGCCCCTTATTCGAACTCATGTCTCTTTGAACTCAAAGTCCATGTAGTCTCTGATGTTCAACTCTAGAAATCTCCAGCCTCACCTTAGGCAGAGACTCTCAGCTCAGGGCAGAGAGGGTGAGAAGAGTAAACTGAAAATACACATTTCAAATAATACTCTATTTCTGTAATGCACACATTGGAGACTCGGCCTAGATCTTTCTAGCTGGTGAGAATATGCAGAAGACAGAGTGAGAAGTAATTTAGGGAGCAAAGATGAATCCAGGTGGAGTCACACTGCCTGAACTGCAAATACCATCAGTCCATGAGACAGAATAGTAACCTTTTGTGTGCACATTAAATGTGGGCATATGTCACAAGGGAGCAACATGAAGGCCAGGCCTTGTGACATCCTAGCATAGTGCCTGGCAGGTGGAAGGGGTTCAGTACCCATCTACTGTTGCAGAGTGAAAAGAAGGGGTCTACACTTGACACCTTCCTAATGGGGCCAAGCTTCTTGTCCTGTCACGTACCTTAAGTTGATTTTCCACTGTACTACCAAGCAATCGTGCCCTCCTGCTGTGAAGGCATAGCAGCCATCATAGGAAAGGGTCATTCCAGCCACCCCATTTGGGTGGCAAACAATAGCAGATGTTTTATGTGGATTGCCGTCAACCGGTAAGATCTGAAGTCCAATCTAGGACGGAATGCATAATTGGATATTCAGACTCAGGTACTGGGCCCCAGCTAGGCCTGGCCACGTTCACGTGTTACCTCTTTAGATCTGTGTACTGAAAGAACCTATGTATCTCGAACCATCTCAGGTATAAGAGCTATGTTTAATGTAGCTAGATGCCCACACGCAGGCCCTTGTAGGGTGTATCTGAGGGGCCCCCCTGCACAGCTTCAGCAGGTACACAAAAGAGATTCCCTCCCTTCATAGTCAGATGCCCAGGTTTCTTTGAGAATAATTCTCGTATCCTTTGACTTTATGCTTTTCAATATAGATTATTCATTAAATGTACCACTAAGTATAACTAACTTGCATGTCTTTATTTATTTATTTATTTATTTATTTATTTATTTATTGTCCTTTTTTGAGACCGGCCACACCACACCATGCTCAGCCAGTGAGTGCTGTGAGCGCACCGGTCATCCCTATATAGGATCCGAACCCGCCGAGGGAGCGCTGCTGTGCTCCCAGCGCCGCACTCTCCCGAGTGCGCCACGGGCTCAGCCCTGCTATTTTCTTTTCTTTTCTTTTTTTTTTTTTTTTTGTCTTTTTCGTGACCAGTAAGGGGATCGCAACCCTTGGTGTTGTGTCGCCCACACCGCACTCAGCCAGTGAGCGCGCCGGCCATTCCTATGTAGGATCCGAACCCGTGGCGGGAGCGTCGCTGCGCTCCCAGCACCGCATTCTCCCGAGTGTGCCACGGGCTCAGCCCAACTTGCATGTCTTTATAAGGTTTTTCCATGTAAATAAGAAAGAAAAAATCCTTTGGTGGACAAACCATGTGTCTTCACTGGGGGTACAGAAAATATGGCAGTTCTGCTCAGGAATGTCTCTCGAGAGTCATTCTCACTAATCTAAGGGCAATTTTCAGTATCATCATTGACCCAGATGGAAATAGTTGGGCTTGGCTATGAAACCAGGCATCCTTTAGTCTCATAATCTTTGGGACTGGTTCCTGCTCGTAATACACACAGTCATCTTACAGAGGAACAGAATAAAGGGCTGCTACCTTGTCTCTGTTAATAAACACCAAGTAGCGTTTCTGTAGTTCCACAGTGGTTTTCACTGGGAGGACTTGTGTCTGCTCAATAGGAGAACCATAAGCTGGCCCAACAAGTGTCTGTCTGAATGAGAAAAAAGAAACAAAAAAATTGTTTTTCAATTCCACAAATCTGAACAAAGGTTTTAAGACTTTTTTGTCATGACACCCACCCTTATACTTTTTTTTTTTTTTTTTTGGCAGCTGGCTGGGTCAGGGATTCAAAACCTTGACCTCGGTGTTATAACACCATGCTCTAACCAACTGAGCTAACCGGCCAGCCCCCTTATAAATTTTTTAATTCTGAATTTCCTGTCTTGTCACTCAGCTAAGCCTGTACATAGAACTGCTCTCTCAATCACTGCTAATAGTTGCTGTAAATAATGGGCAACAACTCCCAACAGCAAATGCTCCAGGGAAACTCTGATTATGAAGAGTGCTTTCAGTGGTCATGGTGCTGACTTTCCTCCTTGACAGCTGAGTGAAGGGAACATTATGCCTCAGGAATGTGTACGTAAACAAGGAGCAAGAAAAAGGCTGCAAGGAAGTGACACTCATTGGCAAGATGCAAATAAACACCCCAGTGGCAGGCCAAGGGATTAGAATGAGATGCTTTATGTTGTTCCAGATGTCTGACATACAGGTGTAGGTGCAACACACAGATTACAAAACTATCTTTGCATCAAATCATAACTGAATCATGTCCCCACACTGGTCAGACTTCTCTAATTCAGGTCTGTTAAATTGACTAGGGATCTGCTTGGGGGTGAGGTCACTGGATGTTTCCTTAAGCACAGAGTTGGATTCTCCCTGAAGCTTAGCAAAACTTAAGCTTCAGGACCCCTCACTCACACAGGCCACTTCTCAGCCCTGGAAGAGGCCCTAGCCATTTTTTACTCTTAATTATGTATCTTTTTTTTTAAGAGGACCCACAAAATCAAATATGATTCAGACCCTCCAAAACCTAGATCTGCTCCTATGTAAACCCAACAGTGATTTCATTTATTCTATAACTAGCCCTGGGAGTTTGGATGTGTTTTCTCTTTATATCCCCTGCACCCTGTCTGTGTCTGACTGGGACAGTAGGTAATTACATGTATGCTGGATAAATGAAGACTAAATTACATTAAACAGCCTTTCTTGAGCACCTCTCTGTGCCAGGCATTGTGTTAGGTGCTCAGGATATAGAAATTAGTAAGATATGGCTCCTGCCACTGAGGTCCCAGCCTAGCAGGGGCAGCAGACATGGAACCAACATGAGGTGAGAAGTGTGGTAACGGCAGCAAATTCACGGTGCAGGGGCTGCATTGAGGGAGGAGTGAAGAGCTACCAAGTGACATTGAGCTGTGTCTGGAATGGTGACTTTGAGCTAGGGAGACAAACATGGAGGTAACAGGGAAACAGGCAGTGGGAATAGGAAGCACAAAGGTGGGGGACGTAGAGTATTGTTTGAAAACTGCAGAAGCATAAAAAATAAGACGGAAAGGAGTAGGAGGTGGAGGAGGTGAACCTGGGAAGGTGACAGGGGCAGTTATGAAGGCAGACTTTCCCTGCTGGGCAACAGGATGCCACAGGAGGGTGTCAAGCTTGGATGATGCGCAATCAGGTTTATATGCATGTAGAATGAGGTGAAATGTTAAAAATACTATAATGACCACTAGGTAGACAATGCGCAGCTCATTCTAAGTCACCCTTCTCTTACCACTCAAGTAGAAATGTGGAAGGCCTGTCCCCACATATCACTGAGTGGGTAGAACATACTTAGTAGCACAGACCCTGACTTGAATCTCAGTCTGATCCTTAAAAATTAGGGGCAGGTTGTGGAGAAACTGGAACCTTCATACATTGCTGGTGGAAATGCAAAATGGTGCAGCTGCTGTGGAAAAGTCTGGAAGTTCCTCAAACGGCTAAACACAGAGTTACCATATGATCCAGAATTTCCATATCCAAGAGAAATGAAACACACCTCTAGACAGAAACCTATACCCAAATGTTCATATTAGCCAAAACGTGGAAACAACCTAAATGCCTATCAACTAATGGATGAGCAAAATGTAGTGTATCCACACAAGGGAATATTATTCAGCCATAAAAAGGAATAAAGGACTGATTCATGACACAATGTGGATGAACCTTGAAGACATTATGTTAAGTGAAAGAAGCCAGACACCAAAAGTCACATATTGTATAACTCCATTTATATGAATATGAATTTATATTTATATATCCAGAATAGACAAATTCATAAGACAGAGAACAGATTAGTAGTTGCCAAGGGTAGTGGGGGAGCGGGTATGGGGATGACTGCTGATAGGTACCAGGTTTCTTCTCAGGGTGATGACAATGGTCTTGAATTGGATAGTGGTGATGACTGCAAAACTGGTGAATATAGTAAAAACCACCTAAGCGTATACTTTAAAAGGGTAAAATTTATGGTATGTACATTATATCCTGACTTAAGTTATAAATAAGAAAAAAAAAGGTTAAGTTACTCAACTTCTGTGTGCCTCATGTTCCTTATCTGTAAAATAAGGAAAATGACAGTACTTATCCCATAAGACCATGGCAAGCATCATATAAGTTAATATTTACACAGCACTTAGAAGAGTTTCTGGCATGTGGCCATATAACTGTTACCTAGTAGTATTAAACATATCTAACAATTTTATTAAATTAATATATTTTTCTTCTGATTGAAAAAGTGTTATACATTCATTGTGAAATTTTTCAAAAATTTACTTATATAGAGATCTACCTATAACTCCACATTGTTGACCCTATCCCAAAATAATCATAATAGTTTAGTGCACATGACTTGAGAATTTCTTTTATAATTGTCATTTTATATAAAATAGAATTACACGGGCCGGCCTGGTGGCGCACTGCTACAGTGCGCCGCTTGGGAGCGTGGCGGTGCTCCCGCCGAGGGTTCGGATCCCACATGCAGATAAAAAAAAAAAAAAAAGGAAAAAAAAAAAATAGAATTACACTATTCATGCTTATTATTTGAAAATCTGCTTTATTTCCTCTTATATCTTCTCTTTTATTTTTGGTGGCTGGCTGGCACAGGGATCGAACCCTTGACCTTGGTGTTAATAGCACCCCACTCGAACCAACTGAGCTAACTGGCCAGCCCTCATCTTATATCTAGAAGATATTTTCAGGTTACTGCACAGACAGCCATCTTACTTTTTCTTTTCTTTTCTAAAAGCAGCATCATACCATGAAAAAAATAAAAAATAAAAATAAAATAAAAGCTGCATCCTGTTCCAGTGTACTGACAATTCATCATTTAATTAATCTCCTATTAATGGACATTTGGATTGTTTCCATTTTAAAAAATATTTTCAAACAAGACATCCTTTTACTTATGTCTTGGCATACTGTGTGAGCACTTTTGTAGGCTACATTCCTAGAAGTCAGAAGATATGATAAAATTTAATAGAGGGTAACAAATTGCTTTCCCAGAAGGTTACACTGATTTACACCCCCACCAGCAGTGGGTGAGAGTGCCTGTTTTCCTATACCCTTGCCAACAATAGGCACAATCAATCATTTTTATCTTTGCTAATCTGATTTGTAAAAAATGATATCTTGTTTTCATTTGCATCTTTGATATACTAGTGAGCATCTGCTCATAGGTTCATTGGCCTTTTTTCTGTGAACTGCCTTTTCACGTTCTTTCAAACATTTCTAAACACATTTAAAATTATTTTGGATTTATCATGAAAAGGCAATTCCTTCCTAATTAAGCTGTGGTTATGAGACTTTATTATTCCTACAACTTAAAGATGCTTTATGCAAGGGGTTTTATTTTGGAACAATGGAGAGGTTCTGGAACTAAACAGAAGTAATGGTGATTGCACAACACTGTGAACATACTAAATGCCTCAGTATTGCTCACTTTAAAATGGGTAGTTTTGGGCTGGTTGGTTAGCTCGCTTGGTCAGAGTGTAGTGCTGATAACACCAAGGTCCACGGTTTGATCCCTGTACTGGCCAGATGCCAAAAGAAAAATAAATAAATAAAATTAAAAGATGCTTGATGCTAATTTCAGATTGATCTTCAATAGGCACAAACTCCTGTGTGGCTAAAAGTCCTTCCTGCCTCTTTTCTCTGGTTAGCAACTGTTAGCAGGAACTTCAAGCCTGAGGCACACCATCCTTAATTCTCCTGCTCTACAAATTCAGAGTTTCTCAGGACCAGGCATATCTGTGGGATATTCTTTGTCCAAAAAGTGTGTCCATTAAAGAAGATGAACAAATAATCTGAAATCTTTCTAAAACTCTTCTTTATATATTCTTTCAAGTATCTTAAAAGTTTTTAAAAATTGTGCTGGATTTCTCTTCCTACCATTTGAAAAGGCATTTCTCACTGATTTTTCCTTGTGCTTTCTGGAAAAGAATTGTTAAAAAAAATAAATAAAAGACCCCAGGTGGTCTGGCCTCTTGGGGCCCTATCTTGTCTGAGATGCAAGACTGTCCTCAAGCATGGGGCCAGCTGCTGTCACTTCTCTAACTCTTCTCCCAGCAGGTCACCGAAGCCTTCTCACTTCCACTTTCTCCTGTGTCCATGCCTCCTTCTAGCCACACCAAGAGGAGCCAAACCACAGGCAGAAGCAGCTCCCCTCCAGGGCTGACCAGGTAGGATCCCAAAGCCAGGGCTGCATCAGGGCCCCAGAGTGCTAGGTTCCAGGGTCAAGTCCTGCCCTGCCCTGCCCAGCTGCTTGACCTTGGCCAAGTTATGCAGCCTTCCTGGACCTCCACAGGACAATACTGTCAGGGTTGTTGAGGACAAAATGGGAGGCAAGTGCAGGGCCTGGCGCAGAAGGTCGTACAGTACTCAGTGTTCATCATGAGGTGCAGACCCTGGCACCACAGATGTGGGATGACTTGGGAAGCTTTGGGTACCCTGGGCTTGGTCCTTCCACCTCCATCTACACTTCCCCTCTGGAGTCTTCTCTTAAACCCTCCTGAGCTCTTGACCTCCAGTCCAGCCTCCCCGTGACCTCCACACTCAAGAGTCTAATTTGTGTCCTCCCACATGGATGATGAGGCAGCACCTACACTTTCCTTGTCCAAACTCTGACTTGATGTGTCTCAAAACTGTGCTTGCCCTTGTCTTCCTCATGTCATAAAGGTCAGCTCCATTCTCCAGGCTGCTCAGCTGAAACCTCTGAGGTGTGTGAGGAAGCCTGCATGCTCACTCTATCGGCACATCCCTTTAGCTCTGTCTGCCGGACACCCCCGGAGCCTGACCCCTCCCCTGCTGAGCCTCAGGCACAGCCACGAAAAAAAAAAAGTTACCATCATTGAGTATTCACTATGAGCAAGAGAATGAGCTAAGTGCTCTAAAGACATCATGCCATTTAACCTCAGGATGCCCCTGCAAAGTGGTACTGTGGTGCCCATTTTACAGACGAGAAAAAAGATGCTCAGAGATGTTCAGAGTGGCTTGCCCAAGATCACACAGCTAAGAAGTGGTAGAGTAAAAATTCAAATTTAGGTTCACCGACTCCAAAGCCTGGACTCTTTTTTTTTTTTTTCCTTTTTGTCTTTTTTCGTGTCCGGCAACGGATCACAACCCTCAGTGTTG